ACAATCCCTTTCTATTTTCCCCAAGAAAAATACGAGCATAATTATGTACATAATCAAGTATCCCAAAGGTGCTTTTATTCTGTGAAGTATTTTGAGGAAAAATGTGGAAATAATAAGGGCAAAATATGAGTTCTCTTATCTAGTAATTTTATGGATCACCCATGTCTCAGTGTCCTTCTTTTAGAAAATGCTTGGGAAGAAGTGTAAGTGGGGCCATGTTGTGGTGGGTGCTCCTTTAATCCCAGCACTCAGGAAGCAGAGGCAGGAATATCTTTGTAAGTTGAGGCCATCATGGTCTACAAAGCAAGATCCAGGATAGCCAAAATGGTTATACAGCGAACCTTGTCTTAAAAATAAGCAAAGTAACTACAAAAAATGAGAGGAAGGAAGGAAGGAAGGAAGGAAGGAAGGAGGGATAGTATGTGTGTGTGTGTGTAAATAGACTCTCAGCATGCATTTCTGCCTTCACTTAGTTTATAATGACATTTAGGTCAAGAAGATGAAAATAATGTTATGCATAACTGAAAAGTAAAGTTTAAACTATAGACAGCAAAAGCTAGTAATATTCAGTATAGACTTATATGATTAGGAAAGACTTTATGAGACACAAGCAGCCTGAGAATACTGGGAAAAACTAGAAATAGTTTTTTCCCTTGGAGGCTGAGCTGTGGTGTTTCAGTCTAGGCAACTCCTCCTTGCTACCTACCAGATTCTAGGTATATATCTACAGTATAGCTCCCTAACTGGATACCCCATGTTCTTAGAGATCAAAAATCATTGGCCCATGATGTGGGATGCCCCTTTGTATGCTGCGAATATGTTTTATTACCATTGGTTAATAAAGAACCCAATTTTGCCAATATAGAATATAGCTAGGTAGGAAATCCAAACAGAGAAACAGAAAGAAGACAGAGTCAAGGAGATGCCATGTAGCCCCAGGAGTAGTACAATGCCAGAGCATTACTAGTAAACCACAGGACACAAGGTGATAAAAAAATATTATTAGAAATGGCTTAATTTAAGTTGTAAAGTTAGTTAGTAAAAAGCCTGAGTCATTGGCCAAGTATGTATAATTAATGTAAGCCTATGAATGGTTTTTCAAGAACTGGGCATTGGTAGAGGTGGAAACTCACTAGCAGCTGGCCACTTTGCTCCTCTGATCTTCAACTTTAATGCCTGTATCTGTCTCTGGGTTATTAGTGCTACAACTCAAAAGGACCATGATTCATATATAAGTCACTTGTTCACTGATACATTTATTTATTTAGCAACTCTTTGGGCACCTACTATATGCCAAACATTGGAAATGATAACACAGAGAGAGTGATGATCAAGAGGACATAGGTAACAGACTATGGAGAAGGTCAATGAAGGAACAATGATGCCCCCACTTAATTCCCAGACACCTGGCACTGTAAAGACTGGGTCACTGTTGTCTGTCATTGAAAACTCAAACAAGAGCATTTAGAACTTTCTTCTCATGCACTTGAGGAAGTAGTATTCTGCCAATTGCCAAAATAGATCTTAATCAGATACAATTGACCAAGACATTTAAGAAGCAGGTGCCTGGGTTTTATTCCATTTTCTCCTTGTTCTAGGAAGTAGGCTGACTTATTCCCACAATCTCTAACCCTCCCAAGTCATGAGGGAGAGAGAATGCCCCAGAAGCACTGCAGTCCAGTCAGCTCACATCGTGGGTGGCCGTTCACCCATGGCTTCCTTTTGTGCTTCACAGAAGCATGGTGGGTGAGGGGTTCCCTGCCTGCCAGAAATGCCACCCACCTGTCTGGGGCAGGGGTTCTGGCATCAGTGGAGTGGGGGGGGTACTTAGTTGGGTAGCATAGGGAAACCCACAAGTCACCCTTTTCTCAACAGAGAAGGAAGGGGAGCTTTCGGGGTCACTCATCTGGGGACCTCTGTGGATTGATAGTGTCTTTATGTGTTTATGGTGTCTCCTTTGTTTCTTGAGCTGGACACAGACACAGGGGTCAACCATCTCCCCTTTCCACACACACTTGTGCCTTCCTCCAACTACAATTATAAGGTGCTGTCAACTCTGAGCCTTCCCATTCATTTTCAGTGCGAGAAGTCCTTAAGCTGAGTCAGAAACCCTGAAATGTTACAATTAGAGGAAGAAACGCTTGGGCCAGGACATTTTTTATTCTTATTAGCATAAGAAGGTCAAAATTACATATGCCAGATGTGTTCAGCTCCCTGCATCAACATTCTAAGGTGTCAAAGTGAAGCTTTGCAAATACTCCTGAGGACCAGCTCAAGATGTCTGAGGATTTAGGGTTTGTGGAACTGCAGCGCTAATGATAACAAGCGCTGAGCAATCTGGAATGAAGAAAACCAGAACAAAAAGCTATGACTGGACCATCTCCATGAGCAACTGTTAGACCACCAAAGATACACATCATGTCGGCCTTATCTTTATTTTAAGCACTTGTCTGTACTTTAAAATGAAAATTGAAAGAAACAATATAATAGGAATGAGGGCATAAAAACTGGTGAATGCCCATTTCATCATGGCACCACCATAGAGATTTACATAGACCCAAAGTCAAATTCTACTCTGCTCTTTCTTAGCTGTGCAACCTTGAACAAATCACTGAACCTCTCTGAGCTTCATTTTTTTCTCATTGTAACTTAAACATAGAAAAATAACACAGTCTTGAGGTTACATTTAATATAAGTAAAATGTACCTCAGCCATGGTAGGCATATGGTAAGTGCTGACCTTCACTGCCATTGTTAAGCAAAAAACATGACTATGGAGAAAGTACAGGCAGAAATGTAACACATATGGACAAAACTAAGCAGGTTATGAAACAAGAGATCTTTATTCTCATGATTCCTTTAATCCAGTTGATATTCCAGGGCAACATCTCCTCTTTTTAACCATAAGTAGTTATGATTCCACCATTGTGTGCCCAGGTCTCCATTTTTAGCATTCTCAAAATGACTCTTACAATGGATGGTAGATGGTGTGCTGGATGTCATGGGTTCCCTAGCCTGCCACAGCTGCAACTTATTGCCTGCTCTGCTAAGGGCAGAAGAATAAAAGAGAGCCCTGTGTGAGTTGTTACTGTGTATATTTGACCTATACCCATGGTGTCAACCACCTCAGTGACAGTGCTTTCAGGGCACTAAGTGCCCTTGTGTTCCAGATGGGATAGAATTGGTAGAAAAACATCATATGCTTTGTACTTTGTATACCGTATTAGGGGAGAATAAAATAGAAAAGAGGCCTAAACTTTTTTCCTTCCAAGTTTTTTCAAGGGTGTTGGGTTCAAGTGAGAGTACTCTTTTAATAGCTTCTTGCATGATAATCACGTATCTGACAGAAGTGATGGGATGTTGGAGTTCAAACAACCAAACAAAAGCTTTGCAAATAACAGGATGAATGGATCCCTAAGCCAGCAGTTAGGTGCCATGAGTCTGATAAACGAGACTGTGAAGGACTGGTATATATGCAAGTCACTCTTCTAGTGGAGACACTGCCACATCAGCCACATTTTTTAAAAATTGTGTTTATCACTGGTTACTCCTATTAGGAAAGGCCTTAACAGTCCATTGGTCAGAGTCCCAGTGTCAAGTGAGATGATCTGTATGTTCCTGACCTCTCCGTCTCCCTCCTTTCTGACTCTCTGAGACTTTCTGGAGGAGCAGCTCCATCTTCTCACTTAAACTCTGAAATCAATCTAGAGTTCGACACTGGCAGATTTTTTTTGCCCTTCTTACACCTACTATTCCTATAGAGTCTCCTGCATCCTTGGTGTTTATGCTCTTACCAAGATCAGCAGCAGATAGATCAGACTATCTTTAAAATAGTTCAAAAACCAGCTCCATCAGCTTACCCTGAGTAAAAGGCAGCAGTTGGGACACTTAAAGGCCTAGGCCGTGTGATTCAGCTGGCCTCTGATGCTTTTCTAGTCTTCACAATGTATAGCTGGAGTAAGAAGTAACTGTCATTATTCCTGGAACCTCTCTTAATATAACAAACAGTCCAAGCCTGACCCAGCAGTGTAAATATTGATTGTCACATCATTCAGTCCTCATGAAATTCATTGTTCGTGTTAGGTACTTTTTCTTCTCTTGTAGTTTAAGTATGTTTGCTCAACCTTGTAATTTTAGGAACCATTAAAAATTAATTGCCTCATATTTCCTCTTTTAAAAATAAGTTTTAATTTCCAAAAGCACCAGTTTTATTTGAAAGTAGTTGCTTTTATAACTTGGTATCTTGACGTTTGGTATTCTGGAATATCTGTTAGAATTGCCTAAATCTCTGGGCTTAGGCCCAAGAATTTGCACTTAAGTAACTTCCAACTGGTGACTTAGCACATTCACACACATGAATCATTACACGGGCAGGAAGACCCACACATGTCCCTAAATGGGAAAAACATTTCAAATCTTGAATGTTTTTTCCTTCTCAACTACAGATAATATCTGTTATTTTCTGCGGTATATGACATTTATGATTCCCTTAAAATAAATTGTCTATTTCTGGTTTTGTTTTGTTTTGATTTAGAGACAGAGTCTCTCTCTACATAGCCCTGGTTGTCTAGGAACTCAATATGTAGACCAAGCTGGCCTTGAACTCAATAGAGATCTTCTTACCTCTGCTTCCTGAATGCTGGAATTGACAGTCTACACCACCATGCCTGACTATAGTGTTTATTTCTGAGCCTACATTTAGAAGTACACTGAATTCTATAGTCTATACCAGGGAAGATAGAAATAACGGTGGGAAGGGAACTGTGGTAGAGTCACAAATGGAGATTTCGCCATACTTGTAAGTTATCAACTCTGTAGAGTTAAGGATGATAAAAAATACCATGAGAACCATTCTCTGATACACAGTGGGGTGAGTGGCAGGGCCTTCCCACTTGAGGCCCATTCAGACCCTCACACAGCTAAGACCACCCCTTCTCCACCATGGTTATCAGGGACCCAGAAGCCATCCCCACTCCTAACTTCCCTGTTTTGTTCCTGCAGATCCACGACTCAGGGCCTGCAGACAGCACGGTCCAGTTCATCTTCTACCAGCCTATCATCCACCGATGGAGGGAAACAGACTTCTTTCCATGCTCGGCAACCTGTGGAGGAGGTAATAGCACTTGCTCATCTAGTTAGCCCAGGTCTCTATGAGGAAACAGCTGGATGTTGTAATGTTGGGGTAACTTCAGCATGGAAGAATCCCTTGTTCTGAATGGAGCCAATTCCTGAAGCCACCCTGAGGTGGCCCCAGAAGCTTTTCCTTTGTGGAAGCTTGTAGCAAACATCTCTTTCTTTGGCATCATGGAAAGCCGGGACTAGTAATACCATATCTGTCAGCAGCTTAGACCTGTGGTGCTTGCTTTTGCCTGTGCATAGACTTGCCTAGTAGATATGATTCTGCTTCTTCAGGAAGCACATGAAAATATTGGGCATGCTTGCTCCATTACAGAAAGTTTATTACCAGAAAAAAAATCACTGCATTGTTGACTTAAGCTCATTTATTTTTTGCCTGCACCCATCACCATACATGAAAGACATGATTTATTTCATAAATTCCTGTCTCCATTCATGTCATGCACAGCATCTGGTGTTACTAGAAGAGATTTTCTCCACATTTTCTGTTTTTCATAATTGTAGTGAGTAGCCATAATTTCTTTGAATTATTTTTTAATAGTTTAATAGTTTAGTGATTTCCCTTTGTCCTTCACAATTCAGCAGTGTGGTTACTAGATAAAGGAATTGTAGACTTTTTTTTTTTAGTGGTTGTATGTATTACCAAAATCTTTCCAGAAAATTAAGTGGGTGAATATTTTAGAATGTCAAAATGTGTGAGTTATCTTTTGTTTTCTATCTTAATAGATATAAAATTACATTCATATTCCTTTGAAAATTGGCATATCTGAAAAATTCTTTTTCTAGTTTCATGGATACTAGTTGATCAACTAAGTTTAAATTCATCCCCATTGGAATTATTCATAATAGTTAAAAATCATAGTACCTCAAAATCGGGGCAATTTTTTTAAACAGTAAGAATATATGACACAATTTACCAATGCCTGTGTTATTTCTATCTGTATGATATGAACAAACCCCTAGACAGGGTTCCAAAAGCAGTACGGTGTTGTTGTAGTCGGGGTTTCTATTGCTGCGATGAAACACCATGACCAAAAGCAACTTGAGGAGGGAAGGGTGGATTTGGTTTACACTTCTTCATCGCAGTCCCTCAACAAAAGAAGTCAGGCTGGCACTCAAGGCAGGACCCTGGAGGCAGGGACTGAAGCAGTGGTCGTGTGGAAACGTGGCTTCCTAGCTAGTTCCCCGTGGCTTGCTCACCAAGAACGACATGTCTAGGGTAGTACCACCCACAGTGCACTGGGGCTCCCATTTCCATCATTAATCAAGAGGGTGCCTAACAGAATTGCCTGCCGGCAAATCTTAGGGGTGCACTTTCTCAGTTGAGGTCCCTTCTTAACTGACCCTAGCTTATATGAATTTGAGGAAAAACCTTGTCAGCACAGATTTTTAACTTAAAAATAATGAGTCAAGCTACTACAATAGTATTTCTATAGTTGATCTAGCTGACCTGAACAAAGTTACTTTCTTTACAAACTGCCAGGCTGAGGAGATAGCTCAGCAGTTAAAGAGCTGACCATGAAAGCAAGAGAACCAGAGTTCAGGTGCCCAGAATCTATCAAATACTGAGAAGGTGTGGCTGCCTACCTGTAATGGCAACCTCAAAAGGGAAGAAAGGAGAGAGGGGAAAATTGTTGATATTTCATGAGAACAAATTTCTGTACATCTGTGAATGAGTCATCCAGAAAGCAGACTTAAAGAAAGGGGCATCTAACGAAATATTTTTTTCTTCTTAGATGTAAACCATACCTTTAACAAAACGGCAATTCAGTTGTATGTGCCCTATATCATTTTCATACAGAGTTTCTGTGACAGTATAATTTCAGTGACCTTGACAATGGCTTACTATAAAATAAAGCAATTAGTGCTACATTCTTCTATTTCCGACCACATTGGGTCTCATTTTACTGACATGGAAAAGTAGAGGTCTCTGTGGTTTTCCAGGGTCAGGTCTCTGTTCATAGGAAATCTTACTAGGAAGTCCAGGGAGAAGCAAAAGTGCCCTGTGGGGTGTGAGGGATGTAGAGTCTCCCTTTCTCTCCATGGAGCAATCTTAAGATCTGAGAAGAGAGCTGTGGGTTCTCACGTGCATGCCCACTCTCAGATTCGTGGGGCTGGCTACATTGCCAGGCATAAAGATGCTCAGAGGGCCATGGTGGCCATTTGCTTTCATTCCACATCTTTATTCCACAGCATGGAAGAACTTTGAAGCGGTGGGTTTAGGTTGAAGATGTTGATTTCAAAAACCATATCCACAGCCTAATTTCTTATTTCTTCCCATGTTTTACCACCTGATAAATTCTGACCTTGAGCAGAAAGTCTTCTCTGGAAAACTCCAAAGTGTTTAGCTTATAAATTAGCTGCTTTGGAGGATGACTGAGTTGAAAAATAAAAGAATGTTGCCTACTCTACAATGTCATTCCGTTTAGCTTTCCCGTAAAGCAAAGCGTTAGACGGATGTGTGCTCTGCCCAATGCTTTTGCTGCTCTCTGTGCTTTTCATCTTCCCAGCAGAATTTTTAAAGGACGTTTTTAAGGTCTTTAATGAACAATTAATTTTTGTGGGTGGTCTGAGAACACAGCCTCAAGCCAGGAAATCTGGCTTCAAAAGCCTCTTTCTGACTTCCTAAAAAACCTTTGCAAGTCTCTCAATGATTTCCATCTTGTTTCCGAATATATATTTAGTAATTTACTCACCTACCTGCCAGGAAGAATATTCAGGGGTGGGGAGGGGTCTGGATTAGAAGGATACTAACTTTTAAAATTCCTTGTGTTTACTTATTTTCGTTCCAAGTCTTGATCACTGCTTTCCAAAATGTAACAAAATGGGTGAAAAAGATCAAACACATTGCAAATAAAATAAAATACTACTCAGCAGCTTTTTGGAAAGAGATATATCAAAACAGTGAAAAGGAAGCCTATAAAATATAAGGCAGATACTTGATTCGAGGAGAAATGGCCAAGTATTTGGAAGAAAGTGAAAGTTGGAAGGCAAGTTTGGGAGGACTTTCCATTTTGATTTTTGATTTTCATTTTTTATTGTTTGATTTTGTTGTTTTAATTTTGTAAGGAAATCATATTCATGGTAGCTGTTATAGGGACTTTAACTCCCTACTTACTCAGTTTACTTCATGCAGGTTCAATTTAGGCAGCCTGGTAGTTCCTGACTCAGGAGGGAACTGATTCACAAATCTCTGTTGTCCAATGAGGGCACACTGAAATTTATTTTTACTTTATTTATTCACTTATAGCCTACTTTCTTAATAAGTTATGAGTTTTTTCTTCCTAGAGGCCCCAGAGATGCAGAGACAATTTAGCATCCTTTTATAACAGTTTTAAAAAATAATAATTGTATTTTTATATAAAATAAACAAACAATATTTTCACCACAGAATTTTATATAATTGTTAAAATGAATGGATTACTTGAGATAATAGAGAATTTGAGGCCTACAGTACTAATGAGTCTTCCAATTATATATTGTTTTCTCTTGGAAATGACTTAGGCAATGGGAATAATTTCCATTAATGGGAGACAGAGTGTATTATTCTGACATGGGTGCTAAGTGACCTGATTGGTTTCATGTTTACAGGTTACCAGTTGACATCAGCTGAGTGCTATGATCTCCGGAGTAACCGTGTGGTCGCTGACCAATACTGCCACTATTACCCAGAGAACATCAAGCCCAAACCCAAGCTTCAGGAATGCAACTTGGATCCCTGTCCAGCCAGGTCAGTCCAGTTTACCAGATTGTTTGTTAGAAATGTCAATCAGGCTTCCAATTAGCCTCTTAGGTGAAAATGAATGTTTAAATTGAAAATAAATGACATGTTCCTGAGCAGTGTCCCCACTAGGTGTATGTTAGTGGTACCCATGCTCCTTACTCTGTGTGATGCTACATTAGGGTCTGTGGACTTTCTCTTTCCTTAAAGTGCTCTTCAGAATGAAGTCTTCTCTTTCTCTTTGGACATCTTGCTTCCTTCCTTGACAAAGTCCTGTCTGGTGCACATCTTGGTGTTTAGGCCAGGGGGATGGCATAGTATGTCTCCCAGTTCTTCCCAGTCTTTTTCCCGTCTCTGATCAGGATGTGGTCACAGAGGACTGCATGACAGGACTCTGGCTGACCCATTCTAGCATAATCAATTCACACAATTAATTAGGCTCAGAACCAGCCTCAAAACAGTGTTGCTACCTTTGAACAAACTCAGCCTCAGCTAAGTAGAAGCCAGGGCCCATTTCCAAGTCAAGCTTTCTTGGGGATCTTTTTAATTAGCAGGTCTAAAGATTTAAATCTTTAACACCTTCACACACTAATGTTTGTTTTGGAAAAACTATAATTGCCCATCCCCCGGATTATTTGCAAGATCAGGAGTCAGCCGGACTAATGAAGTGTCTGGATGAGTGATGGTGGGTGTGCAGGTGGAGAATCTGCTTCTGTGTGGTGCTTTGCTTAACTCTACAAACACTGGCGAGTGATTCTTGGTTGAGGCTGACTCATCCATAACTTACTAGACAGCATCTAAGAAAACCCTTCTCTGCAAAAGCAAATATCCATCCCAAAGACCAAATGCCAAAGCATCCTTTCTTATAAATGATTTCTATGTTATGTTTTAAATCATATTTTATCAATTATATATGCATGAAAGAAAACTTTTGAACAGCTGGGTTGTTAAGTGGGTGGTGTAGATGGAGAGCATTCTATCTGCACCTGGTAAAGGATGCAAGTTGAGGGGGTTTTCTTCTACTTTTGACATCTTAAAGTTTTATGTGTTCTCTTTCTACCTTATGTCAAGAAGTCTAAACTACATGTGTGATTTGAATTTTCAATTATTAATTAATGTTTAGGAACCATAGTACATAAATCGTAAAAGTAAACTCATTAAAGGAACAGAGAATTTACAGCTTTAGGATTTTGTTTAATTTAGCTTTGTGTTTACATCATAAGGTAGGATATTAAAAGTTAGATGTGATATCAAACTAAATAAGGTTAAATTTTTTGCTTAGCTTTGCCCTAGAAGTATCAAGAAGTTGAAGTACTTTTAGCTATGGTAGTTATAACTAATTCAATCAAACCGTATTTTAAAATTATTGCATTTATACGGTTTTTATCTATACCTATAACAGGAAAAAAGCATATTTATCACAATTCAGAGGAGTAAATTCCATCACAAAGACACTGAAAGTCTCACACACACACACACACACACAATATATATATATATATATATATATATATATATATATATATGTCTGTGAATTTTTATGTCTGTTTCTGGGAGGAATAGATGCATTTCCCCACAGTTTTACTTTCAGTGAAGAAATGGCCACAGAAGAGGGTTTGAAATGAAAGCATTATTGTTAACAACTTGAAGAAAATGTTTGTAATGGGAAAAATTTAGCCTTTGTTTCTAGTTTCTGATTTTTACCCACTCTTCTCTGTGGGAGTAACATTTTTGGCCCATTTATTATTATCCAAAGGCAAAAAAGGCTACATTGAAAGAAGCCTGACTATTCAGTCTATACCCTGTGTTATTTTAAAATATCTAATACAGCACGCACATCAATGTTGGGACAGGTGGCTATAAAAAGAGAAGAAAGAAAAGAAAAAAGTTGGAAGCTAATATCAGAAAACGGCTTTTTATTGAAAATATAATTAGACAAAGCTGTAAAAATTAAGACTTAGCAGTAGGAGAGGCTGGAGGGGAGCTGCTTGGGACGGGGATCTACAGCTCAGCTTAAGGTGCCCTGGGCTTCCTACAGAGTACATGGAGCTGTTTCGGTCTAGATCTTCTGAACTGTGAAAGGAACTAGAAAGGGGTGGGCTCAACACAGACAGGAGAGACTTTCTAAGATGGGCCTCTATCCCATTGGACAATGGAATCAAGTTATTAAGCAACTACTTTCTAACTACTACAGATTTAATGATGCCATAGTAAAGTCAAAAGGGGTACAATAACATTAAAACAACACCTTTGTGTCTAAATTAGAAATCCTCAAAAGGAAAACAAGAGCATTCTTAATACAAAAATACACATTTTAACTCCCATATTGTTATATAAGATATTATTACATGTAGTCACTGAGATCTCTACCCCCATTTTTCCTGAAAATCCTAGGATTTGGGGTTTATACTATCTAGAAGCAAAATCCCATTCAGATAATTAGCTCGAATCTTATTCCTTTTCAAGACAGAAATGTGCATGAACACCAAAAAATTACACTAAATAGGGGCTGGAGAGAGGGCTCAAGTAGGTAGCAGATTGCTGCATGAGCTTGATGACCTAATCCCTGGCATCCAAGGGCAAAACGGAGTGTAGCCATAGATGCCTGTACCCCCAGAGCTAGCAGAGTGGAGACAACAACATCCCTGGACTTGCTGGCCTCCAGCCTAGCTACAGATTCAATGAGAGACTCTGCCTTAAAGGACAGGTGGGGAGTGATAGGATAGGACACCAAATGCGGTCCTTTGACATCCCGTTTATGACAGGACACAAACACGCACACATATACCACACACAACACTTAGTAATGACATAAAATAATTGTTCAATGTTGGTTTTCTTCTCGGGGATGCCCCTCTTTTCCATCTATCCAGTTGCAGGAGTCCTCTCTGATTTCCTTGTCTGCCCTCCCATCTCCTTTTTTGCTTCTCCCAACACCCCTTGTTTCCTCTTGCACATCAGTTAGCTGCCATGGCTACACATGATGCTGAACAGACAGTGAACATCTGGCACTCTTCTCTTCAAAGGTTTTTTTTTTATGTTGGTATCCCTTTATCTGCTTCTAAATGTTAATTTTAAAATATGGATAAGTTAAAAGGCTATAATGAAAACAATTAAAGTTATTAATGCTTCCCAGTGCCCAAGATAAGCATTGCTTTTGTGTTCACTGTTTCGTGTTGGCCTTGTCAATTACCCATAACACAGATGGGATTCTGTGAACTCAATGACTCCTCATCCTTTGTTTCCTCCCAAAAGTGAGCCTCCATGCCTACACCAGGTAGCAGCCTGTTTGCTGCTGAGGCAGGGACTCCAGACTGTTGCCCTGTCTGCCCCATGGTAGAACTTAGCTGGCTGCACAGCTGTTCCTCCCAGAGGGCCTTTGTTGATCTCTGCTCGTGTCACTCGTGAAACCATTTTTATGAAGTGATAAAATACTTAGTTTCCTAGCCAAAGGTGGCCCCGCAAAAGGGAGCCAACACTTAAGACTAAGGAAAGGGGGAAAGATTTAATGGCTCTCTGCTAAAATTAGTGCTGTTTTTCATTGGCAGCTCTGAGCTATGTTGTCACAGGACAATCACATATTGTTATACACTCTGCTATAGGTGCCATGGTAGTCCAACTTGAGCATTCCTAGAAGTGTGAAGATACCACCCTCCTGTCTATCAGGGATCGACTGCTTGCTTAGTTCTCTGCTTTGGGCTTCTAGCACTTTCTTATGAGCCTTCTTCCATGTAGCAGACTCACATATCAAACCTATCACATGTCTGCCATGCCATAATTGTCACTTCTCCCTTACACCAAAGGAAGCTTTGTTGAAATTTGTACAGCAGTTCATGCCACTTTTGTCTCTTGGGTAGAAAGTCACATCTATTATGTGACCAGAAAGTCTCAAAGTATTTGCTTGTGGTTAAGGAACAACTAACCATCTAACAGGCACTGTTGTTCTCAGAGTAGCTTGAAATATAAAGCATGCAACCTTTGGCTTTTGGGGACTTCATGCAAGGTATTATGAAAAGAGCAGAGAACCACCTTCATAGACAGGCTTGGAACAGAACTTCGGGTTCCCCCCGCCCAAGGCAGTAGTAAAACAGCTTGATTGGTGAGGGTTAGACAGGTGTAAAAGGCTCTCACTCATGCTACCATTGTCACAGTCACTAGCAAACGAACAAAACTGCATCCAAATTCCACCTCCTCTTGGGAATTTAGATCAACAATATCCAGCAGATGCCCAAGCTTGAATGCCCCAAGTGGCCGTTCTGGTATGTCAAGTGGTATTTGGGGTTGGTCAGTTGGTTTGTGTTTTTTGCTTTTATTTTTCCCAGCTCTATTTTAGTTTGGCACTAACGTATATAAATTACCTCTGGTTGTGAAAAATGGATCTCATATTTTAATCCTAAAGTAACCATAAAGGAATACTCTGCAACTGGAGAGATGGCACATGTAGGAGGCATATAAAAAACTGGATTTGTATGCTCACTGGGTGACCAACCATCCCACAGCGTTAGAACCTGGTGCAAGGAACGATAGCTTGGGAGTCATACAGTCTGACTTGAAACTGCAGATCTGCCACCTACTAGTTGAGCAGCCTTTGAGCGTTGGCAAATTACTAATTCTCACTAAGCCTTCGATTTTCATCCTGTGAAGTAACAATAGCAACAATCCTTTACCTTAGAAAGTTGTCATGAGGGATAAATGCTACCATACATTTAAAGAGCTTAGTGGCGGGGATGGGGGGTGGAACAGGTTGATTCACAATGAGCATTCAGTAGATGTTACTACAGCTATGACTGAGGTCACGGTTGTGCTAATAGTACTGATGTTGTCTACAGAGGTCAATCTCCATACATTGAGCTTTTTGAATCCGTGAAAAGGAGAGATAGATTTCTAAAATTCTCTAAGTCCAAAAAATTAGTTCTCTATGGGTTGTTCGAAAAACAGGAGACAATTCCTAGGAAAACATCAGCTTGAGGCTAAATCACATTTATTGGGTTTCTAAGATATAAATGATC